CCCTTTGATAAGTTCAGTGTCATGAGCCACCTGTACAGTGCTTGCCAGAACGTTCTACTAAATGCTTCTGTCCTTCTCCTATGCTTACATATTCTCAAGAAAACCTGAGAGGTCTTCTGTTGACCTCTACTCATGGTCCGTCTCAGGAGTTAAAGTTGGCTCCCTCTTGTACCATACACACATGAGACATTTGCTTAATCACCATTGATGTCAATGATTAAATGACCCTTTGGATAATTGTCTTTAAAAAACAAAAATGACTGCCTGAAAGATGGAAGGATCTGATATTCTAGGTACCAGCCACACTTGAAAAGCATTCAACTATCAGCTAATCACAAACCAGAGCATCATTTTTTAAAAAGTTTGTTTGTTTGTTATTACAGTTTATTCACTTTGTATCCCAGATGCTGCCCCACTATCTCTGCCCAGTCCCATCTACCATCCCTCTTCTCTCCCCATGTCCCTTCCCTACTCCACTGATAAGGGTGGACCTCTTCCCCTTCCATCTGACCCTAGCCTATAAGGTCTCATAGATGTCTCTCAACCAAGGAATGAATACAGAGCATCTTAAAAAAAAATAAAAACAAAAACAACTAGCTTAAAAACACGTTTGATATTTCTGCACGGCTTGTAGACCTGGACAGAGTCCAAATCACAAGGGTAAGAACATTTGCTGCAAATTGCCTCTCCCCATTGCATCCACAAATCACACAGCACAATACCAGATGGGAGAGAGTATCCCAGGTCAGTGATGTCAATAAAAAAAAAGAGAAACCAGCAGCACTCACAACGTTTCCCAAGCCTTGCAAGCCACTTCCCAGAAAGTTCACTGCAGGAAGTAGGGTGGGAATTACATGGCCACCTCCTCGGAACTCAGACAAGCAAAGCCTTGAAGAGGGCAAACAGAAGCCAAACTTGGAAAAAAAATTAAAAAAAAAGAAGAAGAAGAGGAGGAGGAGGAGGAGGAGGAGGAGGAGGAGGAGGAGGAGGAGGAGCAGCAGCAACAGCCTGGGGAGGGGTGTAGCTAGAGAGAAGGCTCAGTGGTTGGGAGCACTGACTACTCTTCCAAAGGACCAGTTTCAATTCCCAGTAAGCTCACAACTGTCTGTACCTCTAGCCCCAGGGCTTCTGACACACTCACACAGACATACACACAGGCAAAACACCAATGAACATAAAATAAAACAATACATTTTTAAAAATGTCTCCTCTCCCTTGTACTAAGAGACTGCCACCTCTGGGAGTGTTGTAGTAAAAAGCAACCAAGAGCTATAATAACCTAGGAAAGGGTTGGCAAATGACCCAAGAAGCAAGCTGGAATATCCATTCTAATATCTAATAAACTAGACTTTCAACTAAAATTAATCAAAAGAGATGAGGAAGAACACTTTATACTCATCAAAGGAAAAATCCACCAAAACAACATCTCAGCATCTATGTCTCAAATAAAAGGGCATCCACATTTATAAAAGAAACATTACTAAAGCTTAAATCACACATCAAATGGTACACATTAACAGGAGGAGACTTTAACACCCTTCTCTCACCAAAGGACAGGTGAGAGACAGAGACTCAACAGAAATAATGAAACTAATGAATATTATGAGTCACATGGACCTAACGGATATCTACAGACTATTACAGCCAAACTCAAAAGAATATATATTCTTCCCAGCACCTCATGAAAACTCCTCCAAAATTGGCCACATAGCTGGTCCCAAAGCAAGTCTCAACAGATACAAGAAAACTGAAATAGCACCTTGTATTTTATCAGACCACCATGGATTAAAGCTGGACCTCGACCATAACAGAAACAACAGAATGCCTACAAACTCACAGAAACTGAACAACTCTCTAGTCAATGACCACTGGGTCAGGGAAGAAATAAAGAAAGAAATTAAAGACTTTCCAGAATTCAGTGAAAATGAAGGCACAACATACACAAACGTATGGGACACATGAGAGTATTTACATATTTATAGGTAAAGTTATACTCATGACCAATTATTTATCCAGAATAATAGCTAATGAGCTTTCTATATTTTTGTGTGTTTTCCAGAAAAAAAAAAAAAAAGCTTGTGACATTTGCCTTGGGAAGATCATGCCCTCTGTGGCACTGCCAGTTTTCAAACAAAGTTATGAAGTGAAGTGTTTGGATTTTGAGAATTCAGAAAAATCAAGAACAGGCACTATGAGCCTCTGCGTCTATATGTGCTTGCTTGGCTGAACATCTGAAGGAGGCTAAGAGGGGTGGAAGGCAAGAAATGAGAGTGAGGTGGCAAAAAGAGGAAAGAATGCTAGAGAAGGCCACAGGAAAGCACAGCCCACACCTAAAGACCCATTGCGTAGGGAAGGGCTGCTGCAGAGCCAAACCAACTCTCTTGTGGTTATGGCAACTCCATGGCCTCACCATTGCTGTGAGATTTAATGACACCTGGTAGAGAATTCTCCAGAGACTTGTAGAGATTGTGTTATAAGACAGTCATCAAATTCCCTAAGCAGGACCTAGCACGCTGCACACAAATACATGGCTAGAGCCTGCAGTCACACACAGTGTCCTTCTCAACACACAGGAAGAACTCCGCCCCTACCTTCTTTTTCCAAGCAGCACACACACTGTATGTGGAGCATGGCTCCCAAATAATAGGCCAGATTCAAACATGTTCTCAGAGCTGTTTTTTTTTTTTTTTTTTTTTTTTTTTTTTAGATTTGTGGCTATGCCCTATCCAAGTTCTTTATCAAAAGCCTCTACATGCACACCTATATGTGGTTGTTTGTGGCTGAGCATGGTGTGTATGAATTAGTTCATGGTGTGTGAGACTTCGAGTGATAGCGGTGCTGATAATGTGTGTCTGTGTGTGTGTGCATGTGTGTGCGTGTGTGTGCGTGTGTGTGTGTGTGTGTGTGTGTGTGTGTGTACATATGGGATGTTCATGAGTGTGGCACATGCCCGGCTGTGTTACTCAGCAACCCAACATCTTGCCTGTTGAGATAACAGAACATAACGTAGAGCCATGTTCATGTAAAGAAAGTGTTAAAGAATAGTTAACACAGGCTTTTTCTCAAAAAAAAAAAAAACAAAACAAAAACAGACAGTACATACCACTAGTGATCACTACAAAATAAGGTCAATCAATGAAAAGACTGGATATGATCACTAAAAGAAGATGCCAAATCTATTTGGTTTTGGCATGTGACCAGGTCCCTAATTAATTGGCAAGTGAAATTGGCAAGAAAAAGAACATAATGTAGCTCTATGAGTTTGTACAGGTGGATCCACTTCTTCAACATTATTCAATATAGTACTTGAAGTCTTACCTAAAGGAATAAGGCTGAAAGCCATCAAGGGAATACAAACTAAAAAGAAAGTAGTCAAATTATCTTTATTTTCAGATGATGTGATACTGTATATAAATGATCCTAACAATTCCACCAGGGAACTCCTAGAGCTGATAAACACTTTCAGCAAAGTAGCTGGATACAAAATTAACTCAGAAAATCAGTAGCGATCCTGTATACAAACAAGAAAAAGACTGAAAAAGAAATCAGGGAAACAACACCCTTTATAATAGCCTCAAACAATATAAAATATCTTGCAGGTAGCTCTAACCAAGTCTTTGAAGAAAGAAATGGAAGAAGATATCAGAAGATGGAAAGATTTCCCATGCTCATGGAACTGTAGGATTAACATAGTAAAAGTGGCCATCCTACCAGAAGCATATTCAATTCAATCCCCATATAAATTTCAAAACTATTCTCAACTTCATGTAGAAACCCAAAAATCCCAGGTTAGCTACAATAATCATGAACAATAATAGAACTGGATCCCTACAGGTGGCAAGAAGTTAAGGTAGTTGGTCATGGTGCATGCCTTTAATCCCAATACTCAGCATGCAATAGCAGGTGGATCTCTGAATACAAGGCCATCTTGGTCTACAGAGTGAGTTCCAAGGACAGTCAGGGATACAAAAAGAAACCCTGTCTCAAAAAACCAAAAATGACTTCATGAAATTTGTAGATGAATATATGGAACTAGGGAAAATCATATTTGATGAAGTAACCCAGACCCAGAAAGATAAATATGGTAGGTGTTTGCTTATATTTGGGCATTAGTCATTAAATAAACAATAATCTAGCCACAACCCATAGACCCAGTGAGGTTAGGTATAGAGGGAAGGGCTAAGAGTATCTCCTTGGAAAGGAGATGTGAAATAGATTTTATTAGAAAACTGGTGCAAAAAGAGAAGACAAGGAGGGGAGGATCGTGTGAGAAGGGGGAAAGGAGATAGGATTGAGGAAGAAATTGTGGAGAAAGAAGCTAGAATTGAATTGCATTTTACTGGCAGTGTGGAAATACAGTGCAATGAAAATCCCTATAATATAGGAAGACAACGCTAACAAAGTCGCATATACTGATTGAGACAAAAACACTGCTGGCCACATCTTGGGAACAAAGTTGTCAGTGCTGGGACTAGGTTTCATCCGATTCAGTTGTTGGCCAAAAGGATCCCATAGATATCCCCAAATAAGCCAGGCTGTTGCCAAGACAATACCTTGTTCTTCACAAACTGACCACCAGGTCCATTGCCACAGACAACATCCATGCAACTCACTGAACATGGAGAGGTGATCTAGTGCCTACATAGAACCTTTACCCTCATGTTCTAGGGTCTACGACACGTAGCTGCAGGCCACCCGAAGAGAAGAAAATCACCAACCCAAATCATACAATATTTGCCTTACAGTCTGTCCTGACTGTTAACTATGTGAGGGCAACGGAGCCGCAAACCTTGTGAGAGTAACCAGCCAAAGTCTGCTTTCACTTAAGACTCACTCGGCGAGGTGGAGCACAGACCTGTCACTGTTTGGGTGACAAAGAAGCAGAGTCTGGGTAGTCTCAACAGCTAATATAAAACCAAAAACTTCTTCTATCATTTAAAAAAAAAAAAGTAACAAAGATGATTCCAAAAAGTATTCTGCTACCCTCATAATTTGGTGCCTTATTCAGCCATTATCATGGCTACTTCTACCTGCAGCAGATAGGAACAAATACAAAGACCCACGGGCAGAAATTACACACACACACAGAGAACAGAGACTTGGAAGACACAGCTCTAAAAGAGATCAGGGGACCCCATGAAAGAGGAGGCAGAAGGAATGTGGGAGACAGAAGGGACAGAGGACAACAAGAGAACAAGGCTCTCTAAAATGACTCAGCAAAGCTCATGTGAGCTCACAGAGACTAAAGGGGTCTATACAGGACATATAGGCCTATACTGGGCCCCTGAATGTATACTATAGTTTTCAGTTTAGTACTTTTATGGAACTCCTGGATATGCAAACAAGTGGGTCTCTGATTCTTCAACCTTCTCTTGGGGCATTTATTTTTATGTTAGCTTGTCTTGTCCAATGTCTTGACGGTTTCTGTTTAATCTTTCTATTTTATTCTCTTAAAAACAGCTAAATCACATACATTCCATCCTACATCCCTCAATAACTTTAGCAATTTGGAAAAACTGCACGTGTGCTGCTATAGAGTCCTGCCCACAAACACTGAGCTGCTTCATGGCTGGATGTGATTTTCCAGTGTCTCCAAATCCATTGAAATGAAGCTTGAAGGTTTTTTCTCTGCCTTTTCAAACTACTTTTCTGGGAGAGCATACACATTGTTCAGTGATATAATGGCATTTTTTCAGACATGTCATACTGTTCCCTCATTTATTCCACCCTTCCCCCCAGGAGTGGTAAACCCAGGCTTATCCCCATAAGTTCTCTTCCTACTGGGAATATTACTTCGTTCTACATTCATATAACAGGTTTATCATTACTGTCTTTGTTGTTCCTCAGTAAAGTTTTTTTGTCTCCTCCCCTTTTTAATTTCATGAAACACAAACACAAAGATAAAGGCATATATATATATTTAGAATGTAGCTTGGAAGTTATTTACATTTATGCCACATGTACACATCCATATCAATAAGGTACCTTTATAGAATTTTGCTCCTAAATAGTGAATTACAAAAATCAATACTTTAACCTTCAAAAAATTCCATATGCTGTAAGATAAATAATAAATCACAGATCAATAAAGACTTTATTTTCAAGAGCCAGATCCTCTTTGTGTGCTAAAGAAGATAGAACATACCTTAGAAAGTGGCTTCCCCTGCTTGCAGGTGAGTCCACCAATGAAGACCATGTTGGGCATCACAGGTCTGGGAAAATCCAGCACAAAGTCAGTGCGTAACAACCAAATGGATACTGGGCTATAGAGGTCATACATAGTCACTGGGGTCTGGAGAACTTCAGAGGCAATGTCTGTAGCAGTTTTGAAGAAATAGGGGCAAAATAGACGTTCTTCAATGTGCAAGAGGTGGTTCCACACTCTCTCCTTGAAAGTCATGGTGTCTTTAGATTGTGAGAAATATCTAGGAACATAAGAAAGTGGACCAGGGCACTGGGCACCCTCTTCAAGATAGTGGCAAAATATATTTCTTGCAAAGAGCACTGATGGGATCGACAAATGTTTGGCAACAATTAAGCCACAAACATAGAAAGGACTCAGAAACACAGCATCAAAAACACTCTGCTTCAAGTACTCCACTAACTTCTTGTCTTTAAACAAACTCCTACACTGTGAAAATAACAGTTCAGAGAAATCTTGACCTGTGCCTAATACTGCAGAATGCATACTTTGTTCTGTATATTTCCACTGAGTGTCAGAAAAAAACCTTGAATTTATGGTGCAGATCCTCCAGAGTGTAAGAAGTTGAGTATGTCTTCACTGTAAAATTCAGAGATTGTCCCAGTTGCCAGCTCACCTCTGGTATGACTGCCACCACCTCATGCCCTCTGTTGATGAGTTTCTCCACAACCATCTTCATAGTGAACCAGTGGCTCCCGTCCATGGGCATGACCAAGAGCCTGCCTGCACGGGCAAAGCCAGAGGCCAACAGCAGACACACACACAGAGGAAGGGAGGCTGGACACTTTGCAGGAGCCATGGGAGAGGCACAGCCCCACACAATCCAGAAGCTCTGACTCTATTCTTTTCTAATAGAGCTGGTTGAAAAGCAGAGGATGAGACCTACTGCAGTGAACAGAGGTATTTATAAGTTTTCGAGTGAAGTTAAATTCACTGTTAATGATTTACTCAAAAGAGCAATAATCAGTTAAGTTCACAGGCTAAAATATCTGTTTGTGTACTGTCCAGATAAGAGAGGTTTATGATCATTGTTTTGGAAAGACCATGCCATCTATTGCAGAAACAGATCGCAAAGAATTATGATTTTGACAATGGAGAAAAACTAAGAAGCTACCTATAAAGAGCCTGTACAACCATCACATGCTCATTTATATATCATAAGAAAAAAGCAAAGAAGGATGGACAGGGAGAGTCACCAAGACAAGGTATAGAATGCTAGAGGTCACATAGAAGCAGGTCCCTCCCTAAAGGACACATTATGTTGGAAAGGACATGCGAGGTCTCAAATCCACCCTATATTAATTTGAGTCCATGAATCGGAGAGTTTACAAGACTTGACTGGCAGACAATGAGGCTTGGACTCTGCCCTGCTGTAGAACCCTAAAAAACAGACACCTGAGAGCTCTGTTGGGCCCTAAGAACTCACTGAAAGGCTCTCTGGACCGCAACCCGCATTTTTTTTTTTAATCTACTTTGGTGCTCTTCCCACCACCCTGTCCTGATTGGCCAGCCCGGCTCATCAGGCCATCCCTTGAGAGGAAAAAAATCTATACATTTTTCCTCCATCCTGAGGCTAGCTTGGCTGTAGAAAGTGCTGTGTGAGTCAGCACTGGTTTCAGGACTGCAGAGCAGGAGGGATTTGTTTATCTTCTGGGCTGGCTGGGAGGAGGCCCAGGGAGAGCATGGGGGACACAGAGTGGCCAGGGGCTGTGGGCATGGCCCCGCCTCTGCGCCTTGGGGCTTCTCTTTGGGGAGCTGTGTTTTCCTAAAGGGCAGTTGCATGGAAATACAGCAGTCCTGGCATGGGTTTCTCAGCGTGTCTTCGTGCTGAATAAAAGGAACCCACCAATCACGGGATGGGAACTTTTGAACCTGATACAGGCAATGACAGCACCACGATCTATACCAAAACTTTTAATTCTCTAGATAGAAGGCTTCTGGGTAAGATGATCTTTTCTTCTGTTTTCTGGGTGTTATGTAAAATCTACCCTAGGTCGCTTTGGTTCTGCCTACATAGCAAAACTCGATTCCTATTAGGTCTCTCTCCTTTTCTTTCTTGAAAAAAAAATAACAAATAAGTAAATAAATAAAAGGCAAAAAACAAAACAAAACAAAAAAAACCACCGTAGGTCAATGTCCATCTCAAAGCAGGAAACATTCACCAAATTTAGAGTGTTTCTGTTCATTCTAGCAATGTTTCAAAGACAGGATGACTTATTTCTGAGCCTGGCTTTTATACAGACATCTAGACAGAAGATGAGGAGTATCTGAGGCTTTGAAAGTTGTTGACTCCAATGACAAAGGTGGGATTTAGTTACTCTAGGTACAATGGGCAGGGCTTCTGCTTCTCTAGAAACAAATGGGCTGGGAGCTTAGGACTCACACATTGCTCCACAGTTCCAGGAGAAGCTGATGATGTTGAACTTGGTCCTAGTGTTGAAAAATGAGGTGAGGCATAGTGACAGTGTAAGCAATGTGTGAGTCTCAAAAGAGACTCTCTCTAATCACTAATGGTTTCTGACAAACAGTAGTCACCAAACCCTTTCACGTGAATCTAAAACAGTGATACTCCAATTCTAATCACCAAAAAACAGTGTAGGCCCAGTGCTCCCTCCGACCACACAGGAGGCACCAGAACTGTGTGACCTCTGAGAGAGACTCTCAGAGCAAGGTTATGATGATTTTACCAGAAAGGGTAAGAGTTTCATAGGATTAACTTTGCTATTCTGTCATGCATCATCTTTAAGCTAAGTTCTGTGTGTAATAGACAGGTATCATTTCATGTCTTCTCATGTGTACATTCATGTGTGACCACAACATCTGTTTAAGAATCCATGTTTCCAAGTGGAGGATCTTGACACTGGCAGAAGAAAAGAGGAACAATTATGGAACTATGAGTAGATTTCTCTTAGGATCTCTGCTACTATTCCACGAACTTCTTACAGATGATTGTGAGATGTTTGTACAAATGTAGCTGCACGCTCAGTCCTAGTTTCCAGTTATTATGGTAAAGTACCCTGGCAACATCCACCTGATGGAGAAAGGGTTTATTTTAGTTCACAATTCTAGGTCATAGTCCAACGTTGCAGAGAGGTAGAGGTAGCAGAAACTTAAGACAACTGTCATGTCACATTCATGTTCAGCGCAGACAGAAATAATGGCATCTGTGCCGACTACTCAGCTGATTCTCTCCAGTCTTATACAGCTCAGGAGCCATGCACATTCTTTTCCCTTGGAATTAACACAGGTAAACTACTCAAGATCTGATAGACAGAAAACAGGAGAACGAGTTCATAGTGACCAATATGCACACCTTGTCCACACTTCTAGTTGTCACCATAGTTCCAGGAGAGAAATGTACCCAGGTTCTAAGCACAGGTAGAAAGGAAAACATGGATGCTGATGCTGTCTTACATGACAGGAAGTAATCAACGAGGGCAGGTGGCAGATGCTTATTGTTCACACAAGGACTCTGGTCAGTTTTATCTCTGTGTAAACATGGCCGTGCAAAGCCTTTGACTTGGGTATAAAGCAGAGCTGCCCCAGCTCTACCCCAGCACACAGTGCAGGTGCAATGTTGCCTTCCCTCCTGCAGACATCAGAGCAGACACACACGTGACTGCTGTGGAGAGGCTCTCGGTGCAACAGACACCGCCTGGTCACCCAGGCGTATCGCCACTGCCCTTACATTGTGCATCTCTGGTGTTTAGCATCTTCTAGGATCCCAAGTACCATTCACAAAATCATGAACCATGATAAATGGGATGAATTATTGTTTAGCCTTCATGTCAAAGAGTTTAAAAAGCACCAGTGTGGTCAGTCCCCTGCCTACCAGGTCGAACTGGGGCACAGCCAGCATAGGTGAGGTCCACACTGCTCCCTGAGCACCACTGCCTGCCTTCCTGAGGAGCCTGCTAGGCCCCAGGAATATCCTGGTTATACTCTCCCCCCCCTCCTACAACCCTGGAAATTTCCTGCCTACTTGGGACAACCTGGGGCTCAGCCAGCAGAGGAAGCTGCAAGCTGTCCCCTGAGCTCCATCATCAGGCCCATGGCTCTTCCTCATTTCCCAAGGAGTTCTGTAGGCATAAGGAACATCCAGACAACACCAGGAACAACCAGATGGCTAAAGACCATCATAAGAACACAATCAACAAGAGCCAGGGCAATATGGTACCACCAGAGCCCAGCTATCCTAATATAGCAGGCCCTGGATGTCCTAACACAGCTGAAGCACAAGAAGATGATCTGAAATCCAATCCTATATAGATGATAGAGAGTTTTAAGGAATAAATGAATAAATCCCTCAAAGAACTATCAAAAAATAGAGACATTTGGTTTTTTTCTTAGGGTGAATAGTTTATCCTGTTTTAAAAAATAGGTTATTCTTAATGTCAAACAGTTGAAAGAAGTGAATAAAACCCTTCTATATCCTTAAGAAAGCTATAGAAGCAATAAAGAAAACACAAAATGAGGGAATCCAGGAGATAGAAAACCTAAGAAAGAGAACAGGAATTACAAATGTGAGCATGACTAACAGAGTAGAAGAAATGGAAGAGAGAATCTCAGGTATAGGAGATAGAAGAAATAGATGCATTGGTCAAAAAAATGTTAAATCAAAAAAGTTCCTGACACAATATATCCAAGAAATAGGAGACACTGTGGAAATAGCAAATCTAGATATAATAGGAATATAAGAAGATTCCCAGCTCTATGGCCTTGAAATTTTTTTCAACCAAATCATAGAACAAAACTTCCCCAACCTAAAGGAAGAAATACCTATAAAAATATGAGAAGCATATAGAACATCAAATAGATTGAAATAGCAAAAAATAAAAATCCATTCACCACATAATAATCAAAACACAAAATGTACTGAATAAAGAAAGGCTATTAAACAATGCAAGAAAAAAAGACCAAGTAACATAAAAAGGCAGACCAACAAGAATTACACTGACGTGTCACCAGAGACTCTAAGAGTCAGAGGGCCAGAGCTGATATCTTGCAGACTCTAAACGACTATACATGTCAGGCCATACTACTATACCCACCATAGAATGAGGAAACAAGATATTAAAAAAAATTTTTTAAACAATATCTCCCCACAAATCCAGCCTTACAGAAGATACTAGAAGGAAAACTACAATAAACGAAGGTGAACTACAACCAAGAAAACACAAGAAATAATAAACCAGTAAGAAAAAAAAAAAAAAGTAACACACACACTACTACCACCAGTATCAAAATAACAGGAACAAACAATCATTGGTTATTAATTTTTCTCAACATCAATGGAATTAATTCCCCAATAAAAAAGACATGGGCTAACAGAATGGATGTGAAAATAGAATTCATCATCCTCCTGCATATAAGAAACACTCCTCAGCAACAAAGATAGGTATTACCTGTGGGCATTTCCAGTAAAGGGCCATTAGGGCTGACAGCCTAGGGCAGCTTTTGCTGATGTGACTACAGAAGTAGTTCTGTGGAAAATATGTGACCTGATGTTGGAGAGTCTGCCCAGAGATGAACAACCAATGGCAGGCTCGGAGACAGGGTGAAGAAACCTGATTGGTCACCCAAAACTATATCACCTGTTCTCTCTTCCAGAATAAATGTGTCTGCAGCTGTTCACCCTCAGTTTGCATTCACCTGACTCCTAGTGTCTGTGTGATGACTCTGTGCCTCTAATCCCCTTGGCCTGGGACCCCAGTCCTCACCCACTGGCTGGTCCTTCAGGTGGAGGACCAACATCTGGTTATCAATGTAACCTTCACCCCCTCGCATTGGAAAGATATCCCTGTTTCAGTGAATAGGCCCCTTTTCCTACCTAGGCCAATG